GCGCATGCAGAGTGAGCAATAAATTATACCTGAGCTAATTAGATAACGGTATATTTATATCCAGGTATTCCATGTCTGTTGGTTATATTTTTGTGCGTGCTCTTGTGTGTGTGTATTTATGTGTACTTGAGTGTGTGTTGTGTGTACTAATACATGAACGAGTGCCCGTGTTTGTGTATGTATTTCTGTGTGTGTGTGTGTTTACGTTATCACATATCAAGATACTTCCCATTAAACACACACTATCCAACAAAACTACACACACATTCCCTCATATTTTTTTAGGTCACGTGATGCAAATACATAAGCTGCGTCAGTGAGGAAGGTCATATTTGTTTTGAGTTTCCGACATCAAAGAAATGGTTCAGTGACGAATGCTATATTGCAAACTTATCGATGGTTAATATAGCCAAACCACGGTTATTAAGTGTCTCAGCTTACGAATTGGATGGTAAACTGTTGCAGTAGGAGTCGGGATACTGTTTTGAACGGGGTAATATCCAAGAAAGATTTCTCTACAAGGTTACAGCAAAAATTTAGTGTCTACGTGTCAATAACAAACCACATTGGTATAGTTCATTATAAACGTAGACAGCACATGTAAAAAAGTTAATTTTAATCAAATCTAAAGTGTGAAAAATTCATCTTAAGCAAACCGCACAGGAAAAGTATCATTTAAAACAGAAAATTGACAGATGTGAACAAAAAACTTATCTTAAACAGGCACAGCGGATGTGTAAAGTTCATTTAAAAGAGACAGCAGACAGGAAAAGTTCAATTGAAACGAAAACCACACACGTGTAAAGTTTACGGGCAGATAAACAAACGTCCGACCATACCAATACTCCATCCCGTTGAATTAAAGTGACCCACCTCCAGTTACAGCACACGCCAGCACAGTATGTACAGGTTATATAAGAGTTACTGTATAGTGTTAACCGGAAATACCAAACGCACAACATAATTTATCATTCAACACAACACTCAACATAATCACCAAACACAACACAACACAACACATGTTAACACTCAAACAAGTACTAAACATTCAACACAAAACAGCATCTTAAGAACCCCCCAAAAAATAAATTGGCGTTACAAACCATTAATACAGTACAATCAAATGGTAGGCAATACTCACTTACATGTAACTTTAACCCAAGCAATAATCCTTCCAGAATAGTACATCAATCCCTAACTTGTGTAATTATTATAGTACAGTAGTAATAGAGGGTAACAATTTGAGGGGCGAAAATGTAATAATAATAATACTGTACAGTAATTCATAGTAAATAAAAGTTATAATAAAAGTAAATTAAAATAATAATGATAACAATAATAATAATAACAACACTGTAATAATAATAATAATAATAATAATAATAATAATAATAATAATAATAATAATAAAAATGAAAAAAAATCAAGTGAGAAACACTACATGTATGTTGTGTTATCAAGTAAGAGAAAAAAGCAAGTAGTAAGTAATGTCACCTTACCTGCGCAATATTAGTTTAACATTACCATAAATCATTACAGAATAAATCAACCGTAAAAGTCATATTAATCCATCACCTTCATAAAATAATAGTTTACCCAATTAACATATACAGTTAGTCAAAGAAAATGGTAATGCCATCTTACCTGTACAACCATGACAGTTTAACATAATCTCATATTATTACACACTAGTACAATCAAATAGTAAATAATTACACTTCAATATTGTAATAAGGTATATTTCAAGCTAGTAATAGTTCAAGAAAATAGTAACGCCATCTTACCTGTACATTAATAATAATTAACCATAAATTATTAGACCAGCACAGTCCGTACATGTACAGTAAAGACTAGTAGTAAATTATCCTGGCAATAGTACACCAAAGCCAGCAAATAACAACAGTGTCCTCTAAACTATTAACCTTAACTAATTTGCCCTAACGAAACTGACTTAACCAAACCCAACATGGGTCTTATTAACAATTTTGACCGTTTCAAATTATTTAAACTTGCATTAAAGATACGTGTTTTGCGGAAATGTTTTACTTGTGACTCACAGGTCTATGAATCACAAGTGCTGGCCAATCATGCTTAACATAAGCTCGTACAAATTTGGCGCCACATAAACTCGCACAGGTACCCATCCAACATTTAAATATGGTTTGCATAGGTTTAGGTTAGGTTTGGTTAGTTCTTGTCTAAAATATGGTTTGCATAGGTTAAGGTCAGGCTAGGTCGGTAACAATAACAAATTACTGGAAATCTTCCGTCAATACATTTTATTTGCAATCGCCGGCATTGCTTCTCTTTGGGCACAATTTCCACACTTTGCATTTTGTGCAACATAAGTTTCGCTTAACGAAAACAATGATTGTAGGTTATCACTCATTTTCATTCAACAGCAAGAACAGACACTTTCTGTGAATACGTATTAAAAAAGTCTTCATATATAAACGAATTTTTACTGTAGATTTGCGATATTTAAAGATTAGTATCTCTTACCTCGCCATGGTATCTGGGAGCGATGGAATAATCACACGCTTGAACATAATCAATCAAAATCCTAATCTAAATCAATTCATAGTTCCTCGTTCTTTATAATACACAGTTGGTTGATGAAGACAAAGCAAACTTCTTGATCCTATGAGTAAAGTCAAAACTAATTCGCTCAGCAATAAAGGATATTCCATTCATCATGAAGTAGTAATTAAGTATATGATGGCGTTGTTATTGGCTATTCTTAGTAATATTCGTTTATTCTTTGATATTGTTTGTATACCTGCACTGATTATGCCGTCAAGTAGCTATTAAAATTAATTTAAAGTTATTTCATTGCTGCAAAACCTGAATTTCTTCATTAAAAACTTGAATAATCATCCAAAGTATATAACATTATACATGGCACAAAATGAAGTCAAACATCACCATAAGTCAACCCACCTTGTGTCAAGTAAAATTTTTCAAATAAATTCTTTATATCACTAATATATCATCAATAAACCTCCTATAAACTTATATATAATCTTTAAACATTCAATCATAAAACTATCTTAAATACTGAAATGTAATTATTCAATATATATGCTAATAACGTCAATAAAGTTAGCAATAATTAATAGAAGATGACGTACCTCTACTCTGACAGCTTCTCAGTGAGTGACAGTTTCGTTGAATGTTTCGACTTTTGAGGCAAATTTCGGCGCATTAATACAGTACTTGTGACTCATTTGTTTTTCCGATTTAAACTAGTTCCCATAGAAATCATTATTTTAGTTTCGATTTAAAGTCATTCTGCTGTCGTTATTATAATTGTTTGTTGTTTTATATAATTAATATCATTATTATTATTATTATTATTATATATTTCACTTTTATTTTACACATAATAATAATATTAATAATAATGATGATAATAATAAATTTTCTAGCGATACTTAATATAAAATGAGTTTACATATATAATTCACTTAAGTTTTACATGTTTAAATAACACAAAGTTTACTCGAGTAAGAGAAAACTTGTCCTGTAAAATGCATTTCTCCGCATTAGGGATGTTTAAACTTGTATGCTGGCCGCGGCGACTGTGGTGGGGCACGGACACCACGGACACGTACATGGGTATAACGGCGCCACGGACCACAGGCACGTAGGCGGACTCTATGGACACGGACGCCACGGATCATACAAGCATATATACGGTCTTTAAGATACGGACGCCACGAATCCATACACATGTATAAAAAGACTCCATGAACACGAATAACACACCACACACACACGTTAAGAGGAGAAAGTCCCTGGGTCACTGTACTTGAAATAAGCAGAGTTAGTGACCTCAGTTGCGGACATGACCTCGCTAGTCTATTCAATTACGGGTCATTTGGGCGAGTCCTTGTACAATATTCAAGGTAGTTCAGTGTACCGCAGTGTACCGTGTGTCGTGGCTTCTGCTCTTGTGGTGGTAGGTACACACACACACACACACACACACACACACACACACACACACACACACACACACACACACACACACACACAGATCGGAACACACAAAAAATATATATTGTACAGATATAAAGTTGTATAGATAGATATTGAAGAGGTGTATGCTAGCGCCTGTATAACCCTTATAGTGGTGTATATTGGTGCTTCATACCTGCCTGCGTCGGTGTCTCTCTGAAGTGATTTGTGTCTTTACGTGTACCCAGAAAAAACAGTTACCGTGTCCAGTAAAGGTATTGTGTGGAAATGCTGGGACATAGGATAGGAGGCGCTTGGATATAGGATAGTAGGATTTGGAATATACGGTTATATCACCAAATATAACCAAATAAAATATAAAATGCATGTGAATCTGATTAAAAAGTGATATTATGAAGTTACCCCGTAAATACCTTTTCTATAAACCATTTTCTATAACGATTAAGATGGTAACTATTCCATACAGTCTTTCAATAACAATAGCTAGATAGAATACTATATATTTAGTATGTAGATAAATATATTCATAATTAATTCACCATTTATCAGCCGTTTGGTCTATACAGTGTTAGTAGATGAGGAAAACGAGAAACATGACATTGGTAGTGAGGGTGACAATTTATAATACCTTTCTCACGTGTGTTTGGTCCAAGCTGGATTCCTACGTCCTCAATTATAATTAACAGTTGTTTACTGGAAGGATTAGAGTAGTCCTTGCTTGGGTTGGTGTGCTTATAAAAAATTGATAACTGAACTGTGATCCTGTAAGAATAACGTGTTAACACTCGACTGTTTGTAAACATAACCTCTGCGTATGCGGATTTAATCAACAACTATAATGAGACTTTTAGGAAATATTTATTATTATGCTGTGCTTTATTTCAAAAATATTTAATCATAATTAGATTTATAAAACATTTAAATAATTATTGATATATTTTTGTGGATTATTTATATATTATGTTTGTATTCTGAGGTAAGTTAATGATATTTTATTAACTTAAAGCACGACTAACATCTGGTGTCAGCCGCTGTGAGAACACCCCGAGGGAGTCAACTAGTCTACCACCAACTACGTCACTAATTTATCCTTTTCCCTGGTTATTGTTTTCCTCGCCGTCTCTTTCCTTCACTATGAACCCAACAGAGCCACATTGACTTAGGTAAGAAGAAGTGAACCACAATGATAACTTGTGAATTGTTAAATAAGATTATTGAGAATGAAACAAACCGTATAGCTTCCCTTAGCAACATTGTAGAGGTCATGAAGATACTTAAAGGGTCAACCTGTCCATTAGAAGTTATTGTTATACGTTTTCTGTAACTTTTAATTGTCTGTAATGAATTTATTTATGGTTTTGTGGGCCAGCAGAGAGCTATCATGGCACATACAACATGGTTATTAACAGCAATTAAAACATACCACAAAAATGTCACCACTTTTATTATGGTTATGTATATATTGTTTTAATTAATAAGAAGTTTTCATCTTTTTCTTACAGATATATTTTAATGTTTTTTCGTTATATTTTAGTTTACCTTTTCATTTCATTTATTTTTTTTCTATCTTACGTTTTATACTTCATGAATCTAAGGTTATGTTCTCTGAGTGATTTCTTTAAGTGTAGTTAATGACTTGTAACCAGAATGAAGGTAAAATTATTAACAACATGTGTATGGTGTCATAAAGTAAAAAAAAAAATGGTAAACTTAATTTAATCTGAGTTGTGTTGGGTTAGGTTAGGTTAGGTTAGGTTAGGTTAGGTTAGGTTAGGTACATGCACTTGATCTATTAACTCAGATTAAATTAAGTTTACCAACTTTTGTGACTTCGTGACACCAAATACTAGTCGAGGTTAGGGTAGGTTAGGTTAGGTACATGCACGCGATCTATTAACTCAGATTAAAGTAAGTTTTCCAATTTTTTGTGACTTTCTGACACCAAATACTAGTCGAGAAGTGATTGGCAGTCCGATTTATTCATCTAGGACCATTATTTGACTTCATTCCGGCTATATTTGGCTACATTTGGGTACATTTGGGCAATTAGTCGGACCCTACAGTATTACCTATATTGATCTTGTTTTCTGCTGGTAGATACTTTTATGTCTAATGGTCGTTGTATTAATATCTGTACTGTGTTGTCCTTAATGGTAAGAAAAGTGACTATAAAATATCATTATTGTCATCAACATTATATGGCTAGTTTTCATGTTTACATATTCTGTACTTCTTGCCGATCACCTGAAGAATTTCCAACTCGTCTCATTTTAGCTAAAGATTGACCACCGTAATGCTATTTTGGGGTGAGGTTACGTTGGTTATGTTAGATCAGTTTAAGTTAAATTAGGATAAGTTAGGATTCTGTTGATTAATTGTTAGGTGAAATAAACTGGGATTGAGATTCTTCAGGTGATCCGTTTTTATTTTATATATATACAATATATAACTTTAACAATGTCCGCTAACTATCAAGTATACTCATCATTAATTTATTCCAGATAGGACGACAACATGGCATCAAACAGAAGACCGGTTGGGATAAACTTTGAGAAGATTCTACAAAGTGTACAAAGTAAGTGTGACAGAGAGCTTCTTATTGAGTGATGGATGTAACTTATCATATGGGACAGTACTTAATGCTTATTTTGTACTGTACTGTATGAGAAATGGGGGAATCATATGAAGAATCTCCACCTCTGCGTATGTCACTTACTTATTAACCAACCTAATGCTATTTGGGGGATGAGGTAGGGATAGGTTATGTCAGGTTAAGATAGGTTAGGTTATAATGTTAGCTTAGGTTAGGATAGCTTATGTTAGGTTAGGTTATGTTACACTAGTGTCAGGGTGGTTAATCTTTAGGTGAAATAAGCTCTTGTGGAGATTCTTCAGGTGATCCGAAATAAATATTGTCGTCCAATTCTTCACATTTTCTTGTATTGTCTTTGTTGGTACAGATATTTAGGTATGGGGAGGAAGTATTATTTAATATTTTCACGTATTATAGATGACGTGCGGGAGATGAAGATTGAGTTTGAGGAGAGCGGACTACCCATCACGGACGACAACAAACAGCTGCACCAGTTTTGTGAGAGACTTGAGTTCATCTTAAAGTTTGGTCTTAGAGGTGAGTTCTAACACCTGCACTTTATCCATTTTAAATGCTGTACTTTAATTAACAGTATAATACTCTGATAATGATTACAGAGGAAACAGTATTATACTTTAGATTATCCTCTTCACCACTGATTGGTCTGTTAGCCTCTTGGACGGTCGATCATGTCTCTGTTAAACACAGTTAGCAAGTGTTGGGCATGTATCTATACCTGCGCCAGTGAATAAGCTCACACTTGGCGACGCCACAATTCTCTGTCAAATAACATTTATAATAAGGTGGTCAGAAAGATAATTACCCTGTAAACTATAAATCATATTATCCATTCCTGTTTAAGGTTTCTTCAGTGTGTTTACAAGTATGTGACCATAATGTAATGTTCATGTTGACTACAGAACGCAACAGTGTTTTAGGTGGGAAGAAAGACCTGTGGCAGTATTTTTGTAAGTGCCTGGCTGACCGACGCAACATTCGTGATGGCCTCAAAATTGTGAAGGCAAACACTGAAGTAAGTTCACATTAAATTCTTGGATCACCTAAAGTTTCGACACCCAAACTTATTTCACCTGATAGTTAACCACCATAATCCTCCCAGGGGGGTTAGGTTAAGTTATCAGTGTACTGTATATTATATATTTCCCTGAGCATTGTTGGTTTCTTCTTATACTTCAATATTCTGATTTGTTGTTTGTCTCTGGTGTTCAGCTGAAGACTGGTGTGGGTCGTGGTCGATGTTTCCTGCGTTACTGCCTGGTCCACCAGTGTATGGGCGACGTCCTCCAGCAGTGTGTTGATAACCAGAGTGTATCTCGACATTTCTATCAAGATGGTGCCTTGTTGACTGATGCAAAGTTGTCCCCTACACTGTTGAACTGCCTTTATCAACTCTGTGATGTGCCTTTTGATCTGCCTCCCACTGGACACGACCTGGATGTCTCGTGGCCGACTTTTTCAAGGTAAGAGTCAGTTTTGTCTTTACCTGAGATGATGAGATGTGTAGAGAATGTATCCTTCATTTTGTGTGTAGGTATGGGTGGGTGGGTAGGTAGGTGTGTTAGTTTGTCAGTTTATGAAGTCCTGTGATGTTTGTTATTACAAAGACAGAGTCAGTTGAGAGAGTTACATTTCAAACCCACGTTTTCCATTATTTTCTGTATACAGTATAATGTTATTCCTCTCCATGTTCTCAGTGACTTAGACTTACAAGAATGGATCACCTCAACATTAGGCACCCCAGATTATTTCACCTGATGATTAAACACCTTAATGCTGCTACTTCAATGGATTATATACCAATACAATATTGAGGGACATTACAAACTAATTGTAGATGTTAACTTTTTAACCCTAGTACTGGGTAAGATTTGTAGATCAACATTTATTCAGCTATTGAAAGATGATTTAATATTAGACAAAATCCAAAACTCTTAGCATATGTTTTTTGCTTCCATTGTCAACTCCTGTGTGTGATACGCAGTGTTCAGTGTCACGCTGCTTCATCTATTTATAAACTTAAGTTGAATTTCATTGATGAGACAGCCAGTATATAAACAAGTAGTCTAAAATAAATGACTTTGGTTCATTTGAAGCATCTGCTATACATACCTGTCACTCACCTGCCTCCCCTGATTACCTGGCACAGGACATGACAGGGCTGGAGACGTAGAAGTAATGGTGGATGTGTTGCAACGCACTACACACTCCCTCACCTTAGTCATGTTATCCATTGAGGTATTGAGAAACTTGTCATGACCCTCGTGGCTTAGTACAGTATGCACTCTTTACTGTATTGATATTGTTGCCATCTATGGTACTGTATTGTGAAGTTAGCCTCACAAGTTGCCATGTATTTTATGATATCTATAAGGTTGCCATCTATTGTATGTTATAATAATGTTTAGTTACCATCCATAATATGATTTTATAGTTGCCATTTTTTATAGTATGGTGTTGCCACTGTCTTTTTTTTTCTTCATAATAGTGACAAAAGGGCTGTAATGTGACTACCCACTGCTCAGGTCATCTTAGGTCACACAGGGGCATTGGTTATCCATAGTAGTTACTCAGGGATGACCTTGTTGACAGATAATGTACCTGTATTTTCCATGTCTAAGGATCATTGGACCTTTCTCATGTACTCTACTTTCATTTGTACTGTACTTTGTATCTTTCCATCAGCTTTGTTAATTACGATCGACATTTATTTATTTGTGTGTGTGTGTGTGTGTGTGTATGTATATATGTATGTATGTATGTATGTATGTATGTGACAGCATTGGCACCTGGTTAATGTCATTAAGTTTGAGGACGATGTTATTGGTAAACACACCTTGGCCACACATTATGGTAATTTATCTCTGCTGAGCCGTCAAGGTGAACACAAATAGCATCACCGCTCTACACTGTTGCCATCGGGTCATAAGGTGGAGCTACGTAGTTGTGACGGCAATCCATTGTGTAGAGGTAATGTTGTGTGGTGACTGTAGCAATGTGTGTGTGGTGAATGACTTATTTTGTAAAATTGTTGGTGTCTGGCAAGTACGTATGTGTCCTTGTGTGATGAAGGCTTGTATGATAACCTGTTGAGTCGTGAGTGTATAATATGGTGTATTTTATCATGTTGTAAAGTGATTTTGTGTTTTATGTGTTGTGTAGTGATTGTGTGTGTTATGTCATAAGTATGTTGGGTTGTGATTTTCTTTGTGATTGAATGTTTGTTTGTGTGTTATTGCAAGTGAAGAAGAGGTTTAATGGTGACTGTATCATGTTACATCTCTAAAAACAAGAAAGATGTGTATTCTCGGGGGGCCAGGCACTCTATCCTCTTGCCAAGTTTCATCAAAATCAGTCTACATTTTTAGGGGGTTATTTTGCCGACACAAATGTATACACCGACGAAAACAAAGCCGTTACAATACCTCCTCCATCTTGCAACTGAAGGGATAATGACAGCATTGCGTGGTGCGAAGGGCGAGTTACTGTGTTAGGTCATCTGCAGTGTTGGCAAGTCTCTCTCTCTCTCTCTCTCTCTCTCTCTCTCTCTCTCTCTCTCTCTCTGGACTTACTTTATTTACACTACCTTGACCTCATGTGTAAAAACCTACCTCAAGTTTACTACAATCATCCTCACTATTTTAATCATTCCACTAACTAGTTCATTGGGTAGTTAAGACAAATATTTATAGCCCATTGGAGAGTCAGGACATATTATATAGGATAAGATAGTAATACAATGGTTTGAAAAATGGGAACAATTGTGCGGTGTGGTATTGTGCGGTGTGGTGTGTCATGGTGTGGTATTGTGCGGTGTGGTGTGTCATGGTGTGGTATTGTGCGGTGTGGTGTGTCATGGTGTGGTATTGTGCGGTGTGGTGTGTCATGGTGTGGTATTGTGCGGTGTGGTGTGTTGTCACGTGGAGGAACTTCTTTTTTGTGTTGTGTTTTTGCTGTATGTTATCCCGGGTCTGTTAAGCAAGTGCCCTTTTTTTTTTAACCTATAGCTGCCAAGTTCTCTGTAGTGAAGAGTTAGAAAGGGACATTTTGGTGGTGAAAAGAGCTAAAAAAAAAAGGATATTAAGGTGCTGTAACAGTTAAAAGAGGACACTTAATTGGTGAAAAGAGTTTAAAAAAGACACTTGATTGGTGAAAAGAGTTTAAAAAAGACACTTAAATGGTGAAAAGAACTAAAAACAGGACACTTAATTGGTGAAAAGAACTAAAATGGATACGTAATTGGTGAAAGAGAATAGATAGAGATAGAATAAAGCAAGAGATAGTGAAATGACAAGACACATGAGGTGTAAATATAGTTATGTGGAGCAATGAGGAGTTTTATGGCTTGATAAATTAGATTAGAGACATGTGGTGGTGGTGGTGGTGGTGTTGAAGAGGTGACAGACCCTTGCTATTGTTATCCCGGGGGTGAGGGGAGGGGGGGGGTTCCTCCTTGCATAATTCTGTGTTCATTGTGCCAGGTTAATAAGCCCCAGTGAGACAAGTGTGCTGTGTACCCTTTGGGGATCACTTGTAGATTAGACACTGTAGTTTATTTTACCTTATTAAACATCCTATTGCTACTTTAGGATGGAGGGGTTAGGTTAGGTTAATATTAGTTGAAGTTAGTCTTAGGATAGGTTAGCATTTGGTTAGTTAGGTTAAAATTATGGAAGGTGTGGTTAGCTTTAGGTATGGTGAGGTTAACTTAGCATTAGGTTAGTTTAGGATATGTTATATTAGGTTAGATTGGGACAAGATATGTTAAGTTCGGTTAGCATTACGGTGTTTAATCTACACGACGCCCCCTTTTTTTACCTTAAGTGAGGATCCTCGTTATAAAAGATGTTAATGCCACTTGGTCCTCTCCTTACAAGCTCGAGCCAAGACGTTAAGATTTATATGAATTCAGTGGCTGCAGGGTGTCTGGTGTTAGCCAAGGTGGAGAGTTGTGGAAAAACTAAGAGGAGGTAATAGAAGTGTGAGGTGCAAGGAAGCAGTCTGGGGCAAAGAAGCACCCTAGCTCAGAATGCTAACCTAACCTAATCCAAACTAACCTAATGCTAACTTTACCTAACATAGCACTATCTTAACCTAACCTAAACATTATGGTAGCATTAGGGTGTTCAATAAGGTAGGGTGTGTAATCTTCAGATGCTCCAACAACAAGACCCTCAGTAGGTACCTAAAACACCTCACTGGGTGGTAGGAGACACCTGGGAATTTCCTCACAGGCTGAGAGGTTTTTTTTTCCCTTGGCTACTGTACTGAACACCTGTTATTGTATTTTTTTTCCCTTGGGTGTTATTTGGTTTATTGCAAGTTACTGTTTGTTTATATTTCGTGTTACTTGTTGTTGAGTGAGAGAGAGAGAGAGATGGAAAGATACATAAAAGAGAGAGAGAGATAGATAATGTCTGGTATTAATAAAGATAAAGAAAGAGGAGGAGGAAGAATGAGTGGTAAGGAAGTCCAGTGAACTAGCACCCTCTTCCCTCCTCCCTCTCTTCCCTCCTCCTCCTCCCCCTCTTCCCTCCTCACCCTTGTCCCACCTACTGGTATTTCCTGGTGCATTGACGATCATCTGCTTGGTGACTCTCTCTCTCTCTCTCTCTCTCTCTCTCTCTCTCTCTCTCTCACAGAAAGACACACAGAAGTAAACAACAAAACACACAAAAGAAAAACACACAGACAGACAGACAGACACAGGCTGACAGGCATCTCTATACCTCCTCACACACACACACACACACACACACACACACACACACACACACACACACACACACACACACACACTGTCAATCACAACACATTACCTCCTTGTTGCTTCACCACATCTGTCATGGTGAATGTGTTATATAACTTGGTGACTGTGTGGTGAGAGGTGGTGTATTGTGATTAAAAGAGAAAGTGAGAGAGATAGAGACAGAGAAATAGAGAGAAGGAGAAAGTGAGAGGCAGAGAAAACAGAGAGAGAGAGGGAGAGACTAAACATGCCATCCATTATATAGCTCACATGGGGGCCGACTCTTGCTATTTTTAGATCCCTCCCTCTCCCCTCTCCCTCCTTCTCCCTCCCTCCCTATCCTCCCCTCCCCCTCTCCTCCCCCTCCCTACCTCTCCTCCCCCTTTCTCCTCTTCCTTCCTTCTTCCTCACCCACATCTCCACCCCCCTCCCTTCCTCCCTCTTTTCTCTCCTCTCCAACCCCCTTTTCACTCCTTCCTCCTCCTTCACCCACTCTTTTCTCTCCCACCTCCGTTATGATTGGCTCATTATAAGTGTGTACTGTATGTGTGTTATTAGGCCACAAGACGTCACTAACATGTTATATTTGTGTGTGGACGCCAGGCATGGGTCAGCTGGTGGTGGCTGGCTGCCCCCGAGTCGTGCTGTCTCCCTCTCCTCCCTCTCCTCCTACAGCTCTCAGGTGAGTACTCTGCCTCACAGGTAACTCCTATATGATTCCCAGGTAAGGTACAAACTGCAGACCTATTCCTACATTTGACCTACTCAACAGTAGAGGTCACAAAGTCACCACCATTGACCTCTGTTGGTTATTTCATGGTTTTCTTAATATTATCAAAGGAAATGATGGATGAGGATCAATTTTCCACATGTATTTCTTTCCTCTTGTGTACTGACTGTATGTGTCTTGAGGATGACTACACCTCATGTTGCCTGTGTTACTGTCCATAAAGGTAAGCAGTTATTACAGGTGTACAGTACAGGGATATTTTGGCCACCCTGTACACCATTATCTTGTGTTGTTTTGACTGGTAAGGTCTGTGGTGGGTGTGGCTGTTGCTGGGGTGGTTCACTTATGCTGGGGACTATATATATACACAGTATACAGATTAAGCATGTCAAGAGAGGCAGTGTGTGTATGGGGGGGTGTGTAGGGGTGGGGGGTAAAGGAGAGAGGGAGAGTCATGCATTGCTCTATTTCACTGGAATATACCTGCCAGCACTGGGGGAGGCCTGTCTAATGGGTAATATTGATCACTAATTCAATTCTCATCAGAGGGTGGAAGCTTGGCTGTCCTCCTCATTGACTCAACAGTTAACAACAACACAGTCTGGTCCACTGACTGATGGTTGAACAATTTGTCGAAGAAGTAACCCACAAGTTGTGAATGTACTAAGACTCTTCACCACTTAGTCTCCTGCTCTGTGTCATGTTGATATATATATAGTATATTATGTATTTCACTAAGCAGTCATATACTCTCACAACTATACTATTATTATCATTAAGAATGTGTAGGTTGTTAGGGGAAAAATGACATCAGTGTGAGTTAACATTTATATATGTATAATGAGACTTACTGCACGTGGATTATTTCTTTATGTCAAAATCGTCTTTCTCAGAGTTTGAGTCAAGCGATTGTAGTTATTTCTTCTGTATGCATATGTGTGTGTATGTGTGGGTGTGTTATTGTGTGTGTCCACTCCATGAGATATAGAGAGATGTGTGTACTATATATATGTATGTGTATAAGTGAGATATAGAGAAATAATTAAAGAGAATTTGAGAGACAAAAGATATAAGTCACCTCAGTATACACAAAGGTACTTGATCTCATTGCCAAGACAAACTCCGTCCTACCTAACGCATCATCACCCCTGGCAGTGCGTAAGGTATGTGTTACTCTGGCGGCGTGGTGTGACACATGTTTCCTAGGGATGCGTTTCAGTGAGTGCGTTGTTGGCTTATCCTTAAGGTCGAGTTTGTAGTGCATTGGGTGTTGTTAGTGCGGTCGAATGGTGTTGATGCATTCTCGGGTCGGCGTTAAGGTCAGGTTTGCTGTGTGTTGATAGTGCGGTCATGTGGCGTTGATACATTGTTGGGTTGTCATAAAGGTGCCATGCTATGCGATTTGCGTTGATAATACAGGTGTGTGGCGGTGGTGGTGACGTCAGAGAGATTATGACACACTGAACACGTGAGGTGCATGGCACACAACACCTCTCGTGCGTCACACAAAAACTTTACTCATATTTTCAGCGAGTGTTTTGTCAGAGTGTTTACGTGTGTGGAGCAAATTCCCTGAATACTTGTGGCTTTATCTGGCATCGTCTGCTTAATACTGTCGACCAATCAGAGTTGTCTAATGATAAACGTGGATGGAGGTTGACCAGTCAGCTTGCATATTGGAGTAAAGTTCAAGAGGTCATGTATATAAAGGGTGACTGATTTTATCATTTATTTACATATCATATATATTCGAGGGGTCATAGAGGTAAGGGGACTGATTTTAACATTATTAAGACAGATTTTTCTTTGGTTTACACAGTTTTTTTCGGTTTACACAGATTTGTCTTCGTTTTACAGATTTTCTTTTGTTTAACTTTTTCCGTGTTGTTGTTGTTGTTGTTGTGATAAAAGCTATATACCAGGTATTATCGTACAGCGGCTATAAACCAATCACTTACATGACCCACAAACAGTTGCCAGGTTGTCGAGAGAACTTTGGTCTTTACCATCCATGTGGTGCTGATTAACTAGAGGTGAATTACCCCTTTACCTTCTCTTCCTCATTCTTCATTCTCCTCTTCTTCTTCCTCTTCTTCATTCTTCCTCTTACCCTTCTACTCCTCTTCTCCTTCCATCCTCCCTCTCCTCCTCCCATCCTCTTTCTCTTCCTCCTTATATTCCTTTCATCCTTCCTTTCCCTCCCTCCCTCCCTCCCTCCCTCCCTCCCTCCTTCCTTCCTTCCTTCCTTCCTCCCTTCCTCCCTTCCATCCCCCCTCTCATGCCACAGTACCCTCTCACCCTTGTGTCAGGTGAGAGGGAGGGGAGGAAGAGGTCCTGTAGATATATTTAGTGAGGCAAGTGTGTCTACCTTCACTGGTGGTGGTAGTGGTGGTGGTGATAGTAGTAGTAGTAGTAGTGGTGATGGTGGTAGTGGTGTTGACAGTAGCAGTAGTAGTAGTAGTGGTGGTGATAGTTGTTAATGGTCTGAGATGTTAAGTTCACTATGGACCTAAGAGCTTTAATACCCTCCCTACCACTCCTCCTCCCTCTCTCTCCCCCTCGCACTCACCCACCCACCCACCATCTCGTGCCAGGGTACAGGTAATGCCAGGCAGGTGTTAATGTCCTCTACGACGCGTTTAGATGAGTATAGGGAACTCTGAAGGTGTGTATACGTACCCGGTACATCACCTGAGGAATGGCCTGGTTTAGGGTGTGAGAAACATACACATATCTGGAGGTAAACAAAGGGGCTTCCTTCCTCTCTCCCTCCCAGCTTCCATCCCTCCTCCCTTCCCTTCCTCCATCATTGCTTCCCTCCATCCCTCTATTCTTCCCTTCCTCTCTCACGTCGTCCCTCTCTACTTCTGCTTCCCTCTTAAGTCATCTTCCTCTTAGTGTCACCTTCTTTCTTCCCCTCTTGATCAAATACCACTACCATTACCACTTAAGTCTTTTGTGTCTTTCTACCTCTTATTTATGACCTTTTCTCAGTCTTACAGTCTTTTTAAGTCTTTGTCCTTTTATCAATCTTAAACCAACTCCCCAACTTAAGTCTTCAGTCTTTGTGTCAGTCTTACAGCTGCTTAACACCTTCAGTCTTTGTCCTTACTGTCCTCACCCTTCGTCTGTTTTTTACTGTTGATTACCACACACACACACACACACACACACACACACACACACACACACACACACAGGTGCAGGTAGAAGAGTAATGGGGATTTAGACCTGACAGGGTAACATTTATCAGGTGTTCTGTGTGTGTGTGTGTGTGTGTGTGTGCAAGCATACATGAATGTGTTTTACTAGTTTATTGTGCACCCCACACTCATCCTGTGTGCAGTAGCATAAAAAAGGATTACAGAGTAGAGGTCACAAAGGGTGTGTATAAGAGAGAGTGACTCATCCTTCCCTCTTCTTATTTCCTCCTCTTCCTTCTCTTCTATCTTATTCTATCCTTCTGTTTTACTTGTCCCTCCCTCTCTCTATTTCTTCCTCTTCCATCGCTCTCTACCCCCCCCATCTATTTGCAGTGTTGCCAACTTACACATGACAGACAGTTAGCAGGTGTTGCCACAGAGAGATGGATCAGTATCTCTCTCTCTCTCTCTCTCTCTCTCTCTCATAGCACATCTCTCAGCGTCTCTCAATATACAGTACATACGCGGTATCACATCTCTGTCTCTTAATATGTAACACATCTGTCCATGTCTCCCTCCTTGCAAATTGTCTCTCGGTGTCTCCAAAGTCGTCAAGATATCATTGAGTTGATGTTTTTAGCATAAGGGAATGTAGTGTGTCGGGCCAAGTGCGTCACCTTGTCTTGTACCTTGTTATCTCCTCCCAGGATTAATGTTGCCTCTGCCCACCCATGCTCGTCCTCCCTACACCATGCCCACCCTTGTCCACCCATACCCACCCATGCCCACCCATTAAAGATGAAGAATCCGTCCAACGTGCATTCCATACCCCCAGCAGACTGACAGTAAACAAAGCGTCAGAATAATTCATAGCAGATGCCTCGGGCGCGTCGTAGGGAGGAAATGCGTCGTGTGGTGTTGTGTTGACCTTCCTGCCACCTGTTGCAGCTCACCTGGTGAAGACGACCTCACCTGCCCATTAAAATAACAAACACAGAAATTAATGAGATTAGTTATATTAAATGCTGGAATTAATGTAAGGTAGTTATTAAAATGTTAATGAATTGAAGTTTTGTAAGTATAGTAATTAAAAATAGTCATTAAAGAGAATTGTAAATCAAGAAAAATGTAAATAACTAGAAATGTAAATACAAAAATAATAAGTTAAGTTGTAAATGGTAAATTAAAAAAAGTATACAGTAATATAAATTGTAAATCGAGTAAATCGTAAATAAGGAGAAGGGCAATGAAGGTAAATCATAAGGTTAATTAGTATCTTAGACCAGGTGAGAAGGTAAGGTAGGCAGCAGGTGATAAAGTTTAGGAAGAAGTAGTAAGGTATGATAAACACGAAGGCCTGGTGCTATATACACACAAGTTAGTAAAGCTGGTGGTATTTCCTTTCCTCCTTCCTGTTTCCCTCCCTCTCTCTCTTCCTGTTTCTCTCCCTCCTTCCTTCCTACTTCTCTTCCTCCCTCCTTCCTTCCTTCCTTCCTTCCTTCCTTCCTTCCTTCCTTCCTTCCTTCCTTCCTTCCTTCCTTCCTTATTTCCTGTCTCTTCCTCCCTCCCTCACCCACCCACCTTCCTCCCACCCCTCCTCTCTGTCCTACCCACACACATCCTCCCCACCCTCCCTCCCCCTCCCTCTGGCGACCAACTTCGTAAATAAACATAAAACAGTAAACCAATATAATAATGTAAACAAGTGAAGAAACAGCTAGAAGATGTAGTATATATATTTAAAATGGCGGCTCCCAGAATACTTGTATGTATGTTCGTCGTGTTGTTATTTTAACCTGACTCTACCAA